TATTATGTGTTAGTTTGTGTTTATTATGTGTTAGTTTGTGTTTATTAAGTGTTAGTTTGTGTTTATTATGTTCTAGTTTGTGTTTATTATGTGTTAGTTTATGTTTATTATGTGTCAGTTTGTGTTTAATATGTGTTAGTTTGTGTTGGAACATTCTGTAGAGTAGCCATTTGTAGTTGTGTTTGTTAATTTGTAGTTGCGGTTTAAACTTCAGGGCCACCGTAGTAACCATAATTGAGGGAGGTAGTTGTCCCGAAGATCTGTGGGGTTCACTCTGTTTGTGCTGAAGATAAAAATAAAGTCTATAAGTTGCCATCTAGGGGTTGAATCTTGATTTACAACTAGAGCTGCACATCTGTATCTGTGCTGCCACTCATGTTGCAACACCTGCAGCTTATATATGTACAAATTATTTTTATTTAGTGTGCATGGCTTATATTCGGGTGCGCGCTATAGACCGGCAATTACGGTAACAGAAGCTGTAATTATTCACTTTTCTTCTGTTGAAGCAAAAGGGTGAGTTAAGGAGGTAAAGAGGCTTCATTAGAATAAAAGATTCTCTTCTGAGGCATTTCTTCAACATTTTATGGCTTGTTCCTTTAAAGTGCCTCTTTCTTTGGTTCTTCGGTCCAAATTCAATCAAGTATATTTTTTATGATTTGTACATACGGTGATATAAAGAGTTCTGATTTGTTGTGTCGCTTCATGTTCACTACTTAACTTATAAAGAAGCAGTGCGTGTCTGTTCTGCACCTTTTCACTTGTGCAGGTTTGAAAAATGTATCTTGAACAGTTTTCTCTTAAAAAGCTTTAAACTTTTTTTTGTCTTTTCTTCACGGAGCAGAGTATTTGATGTTTTTTATGCTGTTACAAGATTTTGTTGCTCAGATAGTTGGAAGTAAAAAAAAATTGTTGCAGAACAAAACCCCTGCATGATCTGTTTGAAGGACTCTGACGTGAAACGGTTTCTGTACAGGACGATCTGCGAGCAGTAATGTGTAATAAATTATATTTACAAAGAGGTCTGCAGGAAAAGAACTGTACCGGGTCGAGACTTCTTTCTTCCTCACCAACAGGAATGCTCTCGAGTTTGTAATGTGCTTTAATAAATTCAGAATTATAATAAAAATAGTTGAATAAACTGTTTAAAAAATGACCCAAAAGTGTTTTTTTTTATTTTTTTTACCAGCAGTCATATTTATTTAAATAATAAAACTATGAGTGGTGCTGAAGGATGTAGAATGTTGTTTTTTTTTTTTTTACTTGAAACAGCGAAGGTCCAACTTCTCATTTCTCATGAGCTCCTTTTAAAATGACCAAGTCAAAGTGATCTACTATCAGGCCCCGTTTATACGAGAACAACCGCTGGAAATGTTAGTGTTTTTTTCAATGTTAACAAAAAATGAGCAGGTTTACATGAAAACGCTGTAGTTTCCATGTCAGTTGGGTTGCCAGATAAGAAATGATGAACTATAAAATGATAGTATTTTGACCTAAACTTTCACATATGCTGAGTTAATATATTCTAAAATGAGGTGTGTGTTGTGATTGAACATATGCACAGAAAAAGAGGGAGTAAATAAGACATTTTAAGTTTATCTGGCAACCTTGAGCAGGGCTCATCTGCAGCTCAGCAGCAGAAAGGCTGCAGTTTCACGACTGCCTGCCCTTTATGTCAGTCAAGTGACACATTTCATAAATGGATGATCATCTGACGTCTATTTTTTTTAATGCCATGCGATCTACCTATAATACCTTTGTGATCCATGTTGTGCACCCCTGAGCTATAGGAACGAGACTGTCAAAATATTGTGGTCTAAGAAGCGGGTAAAGATAGTGGATGGATGTTTATTGTTTTTTAGGAACTTTAAATAATATAAATTGTCACCAAGTTGTTTAAGCTGCAATGCATTGTGGGTGAGTGACAGTTGCTCCATTCAGCATGAACGCCATCGTGGACGATTTCTGACGTTCAGTCCTTTAAATGGAACCGGAACGCGTTGACAGAGGAGAAAGCAGAAAAGGCTCAGCCTGCAGCTGAAAATGAGGAAGACTGAACGATGAAGATGAGTGAGCTGCACTGAGGAGCTGTGATTTTTTGACCCGAGCCCCCACACGACGGGTCGTGCCAAAATGATGTGCTTGATCACACATCTGAGGATTTGCAGTTGACCCACAACAAGCGACATAATGGAGCTGGAAGTATTCAACAAAAGCTAAAAACAAGAGAACTCACTGCACAAAGCAGCGCAGTGAAACCTGCTGACGTGTGTCAGGTGCACGCTCAGGTCCGACCGGCCGGTTGAAAGAGGTAAAAAAAAAAGTTCAGTTAAGCTTCAGATGCATCACCGGATCATCGGCCGCGTTCCGCTCCACACCCTGCTCTCATCTGCGGTGAAGGAAGCAGCAGCATCTACAGAAGCCGAAGCGAGCAGCGCGTTCAATTAAAATAGCCTTGTTCTATATTTCTCCAAATAATTTTGCTCTAAAATATTTTAGTTAATCTGTAATAATAGCCAATCTTTACAGTTGATTTTTTTTAGGCTATTTGTCTAAATTAATATCCATTTGGTGACTTAATTGTTAATAAACAAGAAATCTTATATCTTCCTTTTGTTACGTTTTTGAAATTATCATGTCAAAATGATTTGCTTACAAAAGCAGTAAAAGCTTACTGGTAATTTTAAAAAAAAGTTGAGTTTTTTTCGGGTTTGGGTCTTTAATTACAGTTAATTTATTGGGCCGGTTGGATTATTTAATCCTGAATGCAACTCTAGCACAGTTCTGCGGTTTGTACTGCCAATGCTAGAGCGAGAGCGCTGCTTTCAGTAAACTGTTCTAATCCTAATTTGCACTGCGGGATGCTGCTACAGTGAAACTTTGTTTCACCTGGATTATTGAGCATGCATCAGGATATTTGTTTCACCCTGTTTTGAAGTTTAATGTCTCTAATTCTGGAGTTTTTACTTTTTATTAGTGTACACAGCGCAGCACGGTGGTGCAACTGGTAGAGCTGCTGCCTCTCAGCGAGCAGGTCCCTGGTTCAAACCCCGGTCCGGGGGCCTTTCTGGGTGGAGTTTGCATGTTCTCTCCGTGCATGTGTGGGTTTTCTCCGGGTACTCCGGTTTCCTCCCACAGACCAAAAACATGCATGTTAGGCTGATTGGTAACTCTAAATTGTCCCTAGGTGTGAGTGAGAGAGTGAATGGTTGTTTGTCTCGTTTGTCTCTATGTGGCCCTGTGATGGGCTTGCGACCCGTCCAGGGTGTACCCCGCCCCTCGCACAGATTGCTGGACATGGGCACCAGCGACCCCCGTGACCCAAAAATGGAATAAGCGGGTAAAGAAAATGGATGGATGGATAGTGTACACAGCGTATGTTCCACAATCGTGACACACGTCATCCGTACGAGCCCAATTTCACCTTCCTAAACTGGTCAACAAAAACAAAATTTCACTGCAAAGAGAAAAAGCGCACCCTTAAGCACATAATCCATGTTGACAGTTTTACAGCAGCAGTACAATTTTTCGTCATTTTCTGTCTGGCAACCCGGTCACCTCCCCTCCCGTCGGGCCGCCTCTAGTAAAACAACTAACTTTCAGCTATGGGTAAAAATAAACTGAGTTCATGTTTTGTAGCTTTTGTAGCAATAAATATTACGAACGAGTTTTTCGGGGTTATTTGAAGACCCCCGACATATTGTTATTATTATTTTAAAAGAGAGAAATTAACGGTGGAACTTCCGCAGCGTCACTACGGACACGTATTCAAAATGGCGGCCGCGGCGATGGTGAGTGGCGAGAACGAACTCCTTTTTCCCTCCAAGCGCTTCTCGTTCAGTCTCTCCTTTTTAATTCGGGTGAACACGGAGCAGCTGTCGAGGCAGAACTCGGCGTGTAAAACATTTGAACGTGTTTCTTGCGTTTCTTTCTGCTCGCTGCCGTTTGATTGTTGACGCTGATGCTAGCTCCGTTAGCATGCGGCTAACGGTCGGTGGCTCGGCTGTCAGGGCTTCACAGCCAACAATTCACTGTGACACATAAAACTTTGTGTTTACTGCCGTAACTAAGCTCACAGCTGGTGGCTGACGAGCTGTCACTGGAGTACAGGTCGGAGAAAGCGACGTTGTCGGTTAGCTTCTGCTAACAGTTCGTATGGAAGCCTTGACGAGACGTTTTAAAGATTAAAACAGCAACAAAACCTCAACTAACTTCATCTTTCATCTGTTTGAACTGTGCGACATGTGGAGTTTTACTGTAAAGCCGAGTCCAAACCGGAAGCTAGTATTAATTTGTAGAGAAATTAAAGAGCTTCGGAGGGTTTGTGTTAAAGTTACCATGACGTCATGTTTGTTTTCTACCAGTTGTTTTTGGTGTTTGAGACCACAAACAGATCTAAATCGGCTTCTTCTGTCTCTCCAGTCAACGTTTATCACGGTATTATATCCAAGTTCAGGTGTTTGTGTTCGTTTAGTGAAACCCCTGATGAGACGCTGGGTGAATTTTAACTGAACCTGCAGAAAGTATGTTCCACAACTGATGAACTTTATGGAAACATCTCGATTTAAGATGGCCGCCACAGCCAACTGTCATTGGAGAACACGTACGTGACTAACGCAGCACATTTTACAGATACCGACGTGAAATGTAGTAGCTGAGAGTGATCCCATTCGTTCGTTCTGTTGTCATTGTTAAAAACAGGTCTCTCTCGTAAACGAGTCCTCGAGGCTCGGTGAGACTAACCTGTTTAAATAAAGGCTGAATGAATGAAAACATATTGGCAGGAGTCCTCTCTGTCGCATAATCTCATCTACCTCATCTGTATTGGCATTAGCCAACACAAAATGGCTGCCAGTCTCAGTTGCACAGATGTTGAGCTACAGTCAACATCTGTGCAACTGTTCCCTCCCCGTGAGGATCGTGACACGTGTCTCTCAGCCACTGAGACGTGTTGTCGGGTGGAGGCGACTCGCTTCCCCGCTCCGCCAGGCCGTCGGTGCAGAGTGGACGGTTTTGTGTCAACTTCATTTATAAAGCACGTTTAAAACGGCAGCCGTTACCAAAGTGCCCGACAGTAACGTCACTGAGGGTGAATTAATGCAAATAATAAAAATAATGATGGAACTGGAAAATTATTTAAAAGCTTCAAAGAATAAACGAAGAACAAAAACTAAACTCGTTGTGTGAAACGCCGGAGAAAACGAGTTTTTAGCAGAGATTTATAAACGGGAAGGTGCTTCAGGATGGGGGGGCAGGTTGTTCCAAAGTTTGGGGCCCAGGACTGAAGAAGCCTGATCTCCTCTGAGCTTCACGCTGGTTCTTGGAACGGCCAAAAGCAGCAGGTCAGATGATCTCAGGGCCCGAAGGAACGTGGTTCCAGGAGCTCGGAGAGATAAGGAGGTGCAAGGCCACTTAAAGGTCAACAGGGTCGTTTAAAAATCAATCCTGATCCGCTCAGGGAGCCAGTGAAGGGAGGACAAAACTGGAGTAATGTGCTCGAACCTACGAGTTCCAGTTAGGAGCTGAGCTGCAGCAGCTTGGACGAGCTGGAGACGTGAACTGGAGACCTGGCTGACCCCAACAGGGACTACGTTACAGTGTAGCACCGTGCAGCTCACGCTGAATCCTCTGATCCACCTGTAAAGACTGGAAGGTCCGGACCTCGTCAGGTTTTGGAGCTTCCACACTGAACTAGAAACTAGACAAAACTAATCCACTCTCTAAAACGATCGGACAGGAAATGGAGGTTTGGGTGTAGTTTGCAGTTGATGCTGGCATACATGGGAGCGGTGGTGCAGAGGTTAGAGAAGGCGGGCCTGTGATGGGAACATCGCTGGTTCGACTCCTTGGACCGACATCAAAATGTAGGTGGAAAAGGTGGAACATCCACGCCTGCCTCCACCCTCATTTGCCTCACCCTGGACAAATAAGCAAGGCCCTGAACCCCCACCATCTGCTCCCAACGGGTGTCTCTTTAAAACGAGTCCTCGTGCCTCGATGACACTACCTGGATAAATAAAGGTTCGATGAAATATATAAAGTACGTCCTTCGGATGTTTACCTGCGTGACCTTCGAAAATCTGCAAGATTCACAAAAAGTCCGTTGTACTCTGACGTGATGCAAAGGAGGAGCAGTGAGGAGGAGCAGTGAGGAGGAGCAGTGAGGAGGAGCAGTGAGGAGGAGCAGTGAGGAGGAGGAGCAGTGAGGAGGAGCAGTGAGGAGGAGGAGGCCTCAGCATTTCCTTACTCTGTGACGTAAAATAAATTTGAAGCTGAGGTTTTGAAAAACCGCGAGACTTTCTCTGTACGACCGCAGTCATGGAAGAATCTGGAAAATTCACGAGACGTTAAAGTGACCTGCACACGCATCTGCTGGGGGGGTGGGGGTCATCCAGTGACGTAGCTCTGCTGGCCAATCAGCTGCTGCTGTCGGTCACCTCGGAGCGGTCCGCTTGGAACCACGAACAGGCGGTCCCATAAACCGGGCTGAGTCTGGTACCGGCAGCGGGCGGACCTTGAGCTGGCGCGATGTGGTGCAGAAGCCACGAGTGTGGAGACGGTGGCAAAGCACCACCCTCCCAAAGCCTGCAGGTACTGACTGGGTCCAGGCTCGGCCCGGTCCGCGACGGTGCTGGATCAGAGTTTAAGGGCCAAGAGAGTCTGATTCAGTGAGGAGCGCCCGCGGTTTCTGCAGCCGGGGTCGACGCCACAGATGATCCGTCCTCACCCGCTCCCCCAGTAAACTGGACCTGCTCAGAACTTCAGTAACAAGAATTGAACGTCGTATTAAATGTTCGTTGTCCGTCTTTACCGTAGCCGCGCTGCGGCGTTCTCTCCGTGAGACTCGCCGTTCTTTACCTTTTCACTTCTTTAAACAAATGTTAACAGTAAAAGATGATTTCAGCCGAGGAGTTCAACTTGTAGCTTTTTATTTTTCTAAAGCTCAAGAGTTCTGAGGAAGTTTCAGTTCTGCACTTTTACAGCAGCCTAAAGTTTGAACCATCACGATGCGCCAAGCTTTACTTCTTAAAACCATTCTTTCAACGTTCTACTGTGATAAATGTATTTTAATAAATGCTCAAATATGAAAAAAACAAGTAAATTACTGCACGAGCTTAAATCTTTGAATTATAATCCCTTTGAATGAAAAAGTTATTTTAAAGCAGAAATCTGTCAAATAGAGAACGAGTTTTATTTCATGGTATGCAAACGACTAACTATGATAAATATCTATCTCTATATATATATATATATAAAACTTATGGACTTTTTCTTGTTGTGATGAAATACTTAAACATTGAAGGTTGCAGACAAACTAGATAAAAAGACAAAGATGCAAAAACATTTTATTTATAACTTAAAACACACGACAAGCAAAACCAAGGACGAGATGAAACACACGGATCCAAACGTGTAAAGTTGAGAAATCACAAAAAAACATATTCATGACCGTTTGAAAGGCCTTCAGGTTTTAAGTCGTTGTTTTTATTTTTCCTGTTTGTTTAACTCGACGGCCGTAAAGTCCGAGAAACGTGCACGTGTTTCTTTTTGCTGCAGGAAGATTTTGTTTGTTTTGAGCTTTTGCAGAAAAGTTCCCGACTCCTCCGCTCGATTAAACATGGCAGATAAATCCTGAGCACACAGCCGCTCAGGTTCTGTCCTGGGTTCTGCACCGTTTAACTTTCCACAGACGTTGTGGACCGACTGACAGAACCGGGTGGTTTGGAGCGCCGCCACGAGCAGCATGTGCACGTTCAGAAACTAAACGATGCGTCATGTGATCAGAGGGTCGACGTGGACCAGCCACAGTTATTACGCATTTTATGGTAACTAGAGAAATCACATTTCCTGTGACAACGCAGCCTGAACACTTACTGCTGAAGAACAGCCGAAATGAGCTAAAAACATGCTGAATTGTAGCCGAAATGAAAGGATAAGCTGTAACAGAAGAATTGGGTGTAAATAAGCAGAAATTAGCACAAAAATTAGGAAATTGGCAAAACAAACAAAAAAAAAGGCTGAAAAGAAGCTGAAACTACCAGAAGGAGGCAGAAATAGCAGAAATGAGCTAAAAACAACAACTCTGGAGTTGGCTGAAAAAGCTAAAATTAGCATAAACCTCTAAATGGTAGCAGAAATAGTAGAAAAAGCTGAAAGGAGTATAACAAGCTGAAATTAGCAGAACAAAGTTAACTAGGCTGAAAGTAGCAGAAATACCACAAAAAAACTTGTCTTTATCTGAAAACAGCTGAAATTAGATTTAAAAAGGCTAAAAAGGTAGAACAAGCTTAATTAAATTAGCTGAAGGAAGCAAAATGAACGTTTGCCTATTTAGGCTGAAAGAAGCCGAAATGAGCTCAAAAAGTGGAAATTATCTGAATAAAGCTGAAATTAGCAACAACAAAAAAACAGCTGAAAAAGCAGAAAGAAGCTGAAATTACCAGGAGGAAGTGGAGAGAGCACGTTTTTGCTGAATTAGGTGGAAAAATATTGAAATGAGTGCAAAAAATGTGGCATTAGCTGAAAAAGCTAAAATTAGGATTAAATGGCTGAAAAAAGCTCAAAATTGCAGAAATAACTTGAACAAAACAGCTGAAAGTAGCTGAAAAAGTTTAAATTTGCAGAAGGAAGCTGAAAGTAGCTGAAGCAGAACAAAAAGTGAGAGGAGCAGTTAACGGTTGTAACAGATCTAAAGATGTGAAGGAGGTGAAATGAGTTCGGTTCATTTTCTGTGAGGAAAAAAAGGCAGAAAAGGCTAAAATATTTCAAAAAGCTAAAATTGCACCAATACCAAAAGTCACAGCAGGATGGTCCTGGAAGAGCCGAACGTTTTGATGATTTGTTGAAAACTGCGGGACGAGAACCATGGAAGAGAAATGAGACCAGTGAGAGTCCTTCATGAACGGACTGGGTCCAGTCTTCAGGGTCAGATAACTGGACTGTGATTATTTTGTCATCACTGATGAAGATGAGCTCATCTTCTGTTGTGGACGACGTCACAGCAGAGATCAAACGAAACTTGTGCTCATCATAAAGGTTTTAACACGCTGGGCTGCAGATTTCAAGTTTTTCTCATTATTTTCAACTTTATTTGTGAATTTATCAACATTTGACAAGTCCTGCTTTTATTTTTTGAGAAACTTAAGGTTTTTATTGGCTGCAAGTTCTAATCCTAAAACAAACACGAACCTTTAAAATGTGCACATTTCTCATTTTAAATAGAAAAATTGATTAAAGTGTTGATCGTCTGACCTCGTGTGACCTGAACAAAGTGAGTCGTCACCTCTTGGGTTTGTTGGTGTTGGAACTCTTCTGGTGAGATTTGGTCACAAAGATTTGTTTAGAAAACGTGTGGTGTCGCTCACGGTTCCCTTCACTTCCTGGACGTGTTGGGAAAGTTTGACGTGCGACGCTTTGTTTGCTGTTTGACTTTGTGTTGTGGAGTCGAGCGGTTTAAACGTCTCCGTGTCTTGTGACGCGCCCTGCAGGAGGCGTGGTGGGCCTTGATGCTGCTGTTCTCGCTGCCGCTAGTCCGGACCTTCTACGTCCCCGGAGTCGCTCCTCAGGACTTCCACGAAGGTCATAAAGTAGAAATTAAGGTAAGACCTGAGCTTTGTTTGTTCTTCTGTTTAAAGATCGTTAGCAGAAGGTTTTATGATCCGATGAATCCACAATAAAAACATTTAGGGTATTTAAACATTTGGATTGTAGCAGAGGAGATGCAGGAACGCAACAAAAAAATCTACTTTTAGACGAACGTATTATTATTCATCCTCTTTTTTTTATTGTCCCCATGGCGGAGCGATAAGGGGGGAACTGGAAAAACCGTCCGTGATAACTTGAAAAATAAAAAAATGAACGAGGTATGACTTCTGTTGGGTTGTGTGGCTCATCCAGGTGTAAAAAAGATGTACATCAAAAATTGTTTCCATGTCAGAATCCAAGATGGCCACTGCCACACGTAATATACGTGAACCGACCACCCCCCTTGTTTGAGGAAACTTTACTTTCTAGTTTTCATTTAGCTTTAAAGTAAAGTTTCCTAAAACGATTGGCTGAAGATTAAACGGTTGCTGCGTTGCCAGTGTCTCAACTCTCATCGGTTCCACGTCGCACCAGTAGAGGCCCACTGCCGCCACTCAGCCCAGTTTATGGGACCACCTTGTTTGTGATTCTAAGCAGACGGCAGCCGTTGATTGGCCAGCAGAGCTACGTCACAGGATGACCCACCCAGTAAAACTGCAAACTACGTCTGAACCGCCACTCCATCGTGTCGGCGCCACAAGAAATGAGCACGACCGATATCAGACATGATATCACTACGCGTGGACTTGTAAGCAATGCCGGGACGAGCTAAGAAGTTAAACTCCGACTATAGACGGATCAAGGACCACAGCAGGAGGAGTGGCTGGAACACGATGACCAGTTACGATCCCGACCACAGAGCGGGGAAACGAGTCGCAGTGGAAAATCCCGTCCACCTGAGAAGACGAGAGTCGTGTGGATTATGTTGGTCAATGCCACCACCTGGCAACCCCTTGCTCCACCATTGCACCTGGAAAAACCTACAGAGTGTAACTTGATTATTTTACACCAACAACATTGTTTACCTTCATTCCCTGCTCAGTTCCAGTCCAGAAAACCACATTCACCATTGAAACTCCTCAGTGATCGGGAACATTGGCGTACAGTCGGTGTACTGGTCAGACTGGTTAACCAGTCTTTAACTGGTGACTTTAATCAGGATGAAGAGGAAACTGATTATTTGGTTCTTGTTAAAGTTTAATCTAAAATTGTTAACGATCAGTGGAAACAGTGATTCTCTGATGTTGCTGTGCTCGTTAAATCCACTGCAGTTTCTGTGCCGAGTCACTGGCCGGCGCTGCGGACGACGTATTTAAACCAAACGTGCAGACACTTTAGTCTGGATGATGAAACGAGCTGAATTAAATGGTGAGTGCACGATCGTTGGTTTAGCTCCAACACGTTTGAAAAGGGATCAGCACAAACAGCACTCTGCTACCACCGTCGTTACTGAACTGAAAGTACCTCCACCCTGAGACCTGGAGTCAAACGGCTTCAGTTTCACAAACAGCCGAAATGTTACCGTTTACCTTTAAAATGATGTTGTGGAAATGGAGCTTAGAACTAAACAAGAATGACGTGAAAAGGTCAAACTCTTAAAGTTAAACGCTTCCTTCCACGTCGTGGTTTAATTGTCTGTGTTCAGAAGTTACAGACCACATTGTTTGTTTGTTTGTTTACGTGTTGTTCATGTTTCAGGCAGTGAAGCTGACCAGCTCCCGTACGCAGCTTCCATACGAATACTACTCGCTGCCTTTCTGTAAGCCGGACTCTGTTCTGTATAAAGCAGAAAACTTGGGTAAGTTTCCTGTGGACTTGGTTAATTTAAGCTAAAGATTAAATATTTAAACATCTTCATTATTGTTGACTCTTTGACCACAAACAGCTTACTGGGACTGGACCATTAAGCCCCTCCATCTAATTTCTAAACAAGCGTGACCCAGGCCGACAGAACGAGTCCAAAAACATTTTAACATCGACTAAATCGTATTCTTTTAATACTTTATATTTAAAAAAATATAAAGTAACTTTTTGAAATTTGACCATTTATCAACTTGTTTTGTTTACGAGGGTGTCGGTTTAAAAACTGTTTTTATTGGTCTGCAGTGACGTCGTCGGGAATATTTTTCTGAAGAGTCCATAATACACCCAGTGTTTCACCTACCGTTGTACAAGCAGGGCGCCCCGCCCTGTCAACAGAACCGAGTGCCCTGCCTCCCGAACACCCCCACCACCACCACCCCCACCACCACCACCACCACCACCCCCACGACAGTTTCCAATATTGACGTAGCGCTAAGCTAGCGGTGCGCAGTACAGACACGCTAGCTAAAGGGATGTAAAGCTGGAGCAGAGACGAGGTCCTGTTTTTTTTTTTTTTTTAAGGGAAAAAAGAAAGAAAAGAGAGAAAAAGAAGGAAAAAATGGAGAGAAATAAGAGGGGGGGAAGAGAAAAAGAAAGAAAAATGAGAAACAAAGGAAAAAGAAGAAACAAGATAAAGTTCTAACAAAGGGGTCACCTATGACCTTGATCTTTGAGCCTGTGACCTTGAAATCTTAAGGGGTCCAGCTGGACTGTTAGACATTTCTGCTTTAAAGGTTTAAAATTTTACAGCACAAAGGGCAAGCCTGTAAAAACACCTGGCATTATACGAAGGGATTTCCCATCGGCAGCTGGCAGAGAAAAAAACAAAGTTTTAAAGGGGTTTAAAGGATTATTTCTGAAGACCTACCTGTGGAAAACTTGGGATTGAAAGGTAGATTAGGAAGATTATCTGCTCTTTACCAGGATGGCTAGATTGTGTCATTTTTATGCAAATCTCATTGTGTCAAAAATCCATATTTTATGGAGGACTCGCGGATTATTTTCATCTTTTGTCTCAGATTTACGACATTTTCAGCCGACAGGACGCAGAGAGTAAAAACCGACGCAGCGAATGAGAATGTTTGTTGCGTCAACGTTCCGACCCGTTTGTGCTCTGGGCTTCTCTTCAGGTGAGGTTCTGCGAGGGGACCGTATCGTGAACACTCTGTACGAAGTTCAGATGAGCAAAGACAAGAAGTGCGAGACGATGTGCAGCAAGAAGAAGCTCAGCGTCCAGGAGAGTCAGCTGGTGGCCGAGCGCATCCGGGAGGAATATTACGTTCACCTGTGAGCGCCACCTCTCTGCTCGCGTCACCCGGCGCTAACGCCGTGCCCACGTCCGTTAGCAAAACATCTCATTAACCACTGGACAGGCTTCAGTGAAACTCGTGGGATATTTTGCTAACGGACGCTCTGTGTCTAAACTTGAACTAACTGAGCCCTTGGTCGTGTGTCTTTAGGATCGCGGACAACCTTCCAGTTGCCACCAGGTTGGAGTTTTACTCGAACAAAGAAACCGGAGGAGAAGAGGAACTGAAGGAGAAGCCGGACGTCCAGTTTGAACACGGTTACAGACTGGGCTTCGTGGAAAACACCAAGGTGGAGTTTCACACCGCGAGGCTCAGTCAGAAGTTCTGGTTCTGCCACAAACTGATTTTATATACAGTTCTTTAAAACGTGTTCATTCTGTGTAACTTTCCCACATTCTGCCACAACTTGAAAGTGTTTTACTGCGAAGAACCGACACGAAGCAGAGCGTCGTGGTGAAGTGGAGGAAGCGACTCATCGTAGTCGAGATCTGAGACGCCTGCGTTATCAGGACGGAGACGCCTCCGTCTGATTCTGATTGGGCTGAGGCGGTGAGGGCGGTTGAAGCCAAACCACCCCTGATTCCACGTAGTTTGTGTGTATAAATACATAGATGTGTGTAGGACCTGAAGTACCTCCAGTCAGCTGTCCTGGAGAACGAGGAGAGCGGTCAAAAGGTGAAGAGTTTGGGAGAAAAGAGTGGGACAAAGGTCAAAGGCAAGGTTTACAGGACAGTGGTGAGACCAGCTATGTTGTATGGTCTGGAGACAGAGACATGGACAAAAAGACAGGAGACAGAACTGGAAGTGTCAGAAATGAAGAAGTTGAGGTTCTCCTTAGGAGAGACAAGGATGGAGAAGATCAGGAATGAGATCATCAGAGGTGCAGCACAGGTTGAACAACTGGGAGATAAAGTTAGAGAGGACACACTGAGATGGTGTGGACATGTCCAGAGGAGGGACAGTGGTTTGGACATGTCCAGAGGAGGGGCAGTGGTTTGGACATGTC